GCCCATCATTTTAGTTTTTCCACAAACTACAGACAATAAATCAGAAAGGATGTAGATGTAGCCACCATATTTAACAAGGCCAACCTAATGTACAGCCGCTGACTCTGTATCATGTACATACAGAGAATGGATACACCCTTTCTGCACACAGAGAACATACTGATGAAACTGCTTCCTAGGCATAAGCTTAGTCTCAGCAGGTTTTTAGCTATAGGACTGGCTGTCAATCAGATTCTCTGGTCAATGCTATCGAATTATAAAAAAAATCAACAAAAAGATGATAGGAAAATCTTCAACATTTGGTAGCCATGCACAACGTTGACAACCCATGGGCTAAAGAGAACTTTTGGAGTCTCAAAGTGTGGTGCTGCTTCCAGCTACTTTAACACACTAAGAAACAATTTTTTCATGTAACATGAGTTGATCAATTATATTTCAAAACATTACTAATACCTAAACTGGGTATAATTTTTCCATTGTGCATGCATTCTTTACAAAATGGTTGTTAACTTACAGTTGGAGATGAACCACTCTATTAAAGTTATATGTGTCATTACACATTACAATGTGTACTTGCTGTTCAGAAGAGCATCACCATGCTCTTCCAAACTGTCACTGGGAATACAAAGGTAAGCAAACACACAACTCCAGCCTCTGGGGGCCCACAGCATCCTCAAGGAGGCAGCCACCAGTCATGGAAGCACACATAATTGGCAACTGGGAAGGGTGTCAGGACTCTGTAGCAGGGGATTGTAAGAGAGGCTTCTGGGAAATGATGCTCTAGGCTAAGACCTCACAAGCACAGAGAAGACTCAAAGGACAGCAATCCCAGAAGAAGGAAAAGCAACGCACACCTATGGGGCTTGCTTCACAGGGTCTTAGTACAGAGCCCAGACTGGCCTTAAACTTGGACTTCCCTGTCTCTATTTCCCTAGAACTAGGATTCCAAGTGGACATCACTAAACTCTGTTGAAAACTACCAAGTTTTAAGCAGTTAAAGCCAAGCTATTATTTAATTTCAGATGATCAATATAAAGGCAAGACAGAGTAAAAACCATCTTTGCAAAAACTGTTATACTTTCCAATTTCTTCCCCCTTTGTTAAAAATTGTTTCATGTTTCTATTGTTACAGGACTTCTCTTTCACTATATATACACAGATATTGAAGACATAAAAATACTGTTACACAGAACTGACTGGGAAGTACTCTCTATACTTATAGCTTTTTGTTTTAGTTTGTTTTGGTTTGGTTTTTCGAGACAGGGTTTCTCTGTTTAGCCCTGGCTGTCCCGGAACTCACCCTATAGACCAGGCTGGCCTCAAACTCAGAAATCCGCCTGCCTCTGCCTCCCAAGTGCTGGGATTGAAGGCGTGCGCCACCACTGCCCTGCACTTAAGTTTTTAAAACTGTAAAAATCAGCTAGGTATGGTAGCATATGCCTTTAATTCCAGCACTGATGAAACACAGGCCCATAGAGATCTGGGTGTTAATAGTCAACTTGATTTCAGAGCAAGTGCCAAGCCAGTGAGGGCTGCGCAGTGAGACCCTGTCTCAAAAACCAAAACAACCCACCCTCCAAAAAAACAGAAAAAAAGTCTTAATTTGTGTGTGTGCAAGTGCATGTACACACTCAAGTGTACATGTGTGTGTTCACGTGTGTATGGAGGCCAGAAGGACAGAGGTCACAGGGGTCGCCCTTCTTGCTCCCAGTCATATTTGTAGTGAACCTGGTGCTAGCTGACTGAAAGTTAAGTCAGGCTGGCCGACCAGTGGGGCTTGATCAGGGCCTTCCCAAGGCCACAAATAAGGGGCACACACTTGGCCTTTTTTTTTTTTTTTTTTTTAATTTAACCTGGATTCTGGAACTCAGGTCCCCACGCGTGTACACTTTACATCTGAGCTTCATCTCCTCAGCCCTTAACTTTAATTTTTAGGAAGCTTCAGATAGGGGTTTCTATCGCAAGGCTGCTTCTAAACTGTCCTCAGGAATCTCGTCCAGTTCGGAGCCTCATTTCCTACCCGGATCTCTAATGTCCCACACTCATCGAGTTCACCCCAAAAGCTGCAGAAGGCAAACCTACAATGTCACATGCTGTATCTGGAAGGGGACGCTGGGAGGGGAGGGATTAGCACTCCAAGAACTTTATTACTGCTATGAAATGACCACATACCAGCAAAAGGAGCCTCCAAATCAATTAGCAAGAGTTGACCCTGGTATGGAACTTACAGCTGATCATACAGATACAGATCAACTGCCATGAATTATTTTATGTTCATTTTTACACATACAAACAATTCTCAAGGCTTGATCTTTTAGATAAACTCGTGTACTCAAAATTCACTTCAGGATTACGTCAGAGTATAATCTTAGGAAATATCTAACACAGGTCAAGACTAGAACATTCGTGAGGCCTGTGGCGGTGTTTGCTAGGTAAGACATGGCTGGCTCTAAGAGGTATAGGAACTAAAGCAGAGTTCAGCATTCTACGGAGGAAAGCTTAGAAACAAACCCCAGATGATCCCTTTAAAGCATGTAGTTACTGATTAATTGTCTTTGCAATGAAGAACTGCCCAATTAAAGTTCTAGAAGACTTCTGTTTTTTTCTATTATGACTCTACCAGGAGCTCTTAAAAGTCATGAGAATTCAGGGCTGGTGAGACGGCCTGTGGTTAGGAGCACCGCTGCTCTTCCAGAGAACAGAATCCAGTTCTCAGAACCCACATGGCTACTTACAACTCTCAGTTAACTCCAGTTCCAGGGGATCCAATGCCCTCTTCTTGGGACACCGGGGACGGAGGTGGTACACAGATAGACAGGTGGACAAGACACCCATACATGAAATAAATATTCTTCAAAAAAAAAATCATGTGACTTCAGAGATAAGTGTATATTCAAGAAAATACCATAAGAATGATTTAGAATTAAAGCCATTCTCCCATAAGTGCTAAGGCAATCCCAACCCTACCTCAAATGTCCAGGGGATGCATTCATTTCCCAACACTTAGCTCTTATAGCAAAAGCCTGAACACCACTTGGGCTTAAAAGCTCTTGAGTCCACCATTACTACTTGCTAAACACATCGGACCACCTATAGGGTTCAAGGAAGGGAGGAAATCCGCCCCTTCAGCTATGGGGAAGGGAAGGGGTGTGTCCTGAGCTAGCAAGCAACAGTGACAACTTTACTTTTGGGGACTAACTCAAAAATGGGCTTTGCTGTAACATATGAACCACCTGGGCATAAGAAAACAAGAGAACTGCAGAAGAGTTCCCTTAATGAGGTTTTCCTAGCCAGCCCTTTTCTTCAGAAGACAGTGGTTTGTCATCAGGTCCACGTGGGGATGCGTGCCACCTGGAACTGTGATTACAAAGCAGGAAAGGGCACCAACAGCCAGGAGAACTGGAATTTGCCTTCAGGAGCAGATAACAAAGTAGGAAGTGCTTACAAGGGCTGTGAGGTCACAGGCAACTCAATTTCAGTACAAGGACAGCTGTGTTTTTTCACTGGAAACATAAGGCTCCGCCATCAAATAAAACTTTACTATGCTTGGACATATGCATTCCTTGCTAAGTCGAAGTAGGCATGCGTGCCTCAGATCAGTACAAACATCACAAACTGACCTCCACAGAATAGGGTCTATGTCACAAACCACGGTTAAGGTTGCAAGATAACTCTGTAATTGGATTTTCAGTTTCTGAAACGTCTTGGGAACAGACCTCAAAATCAAATTTCCATAGAAATCTTTTGCTTGAATTAGGTTTTATCTCCAACAAGGTTTGTCACAAAGTAAGTGCATTGAAAAGGTAGGTAGTTGTTTCATATCTAATAAAATCAACCAATAACTGCTCAGATATATTAACAGGACAATTATTTCAACAACAGCAGCAGCAGCAGGTTCCTGAAGAAGCTTCATTTATGTATAAACACTATACGTAGTTAGATTCAGGACACTGAATATATATCTGGGCCCCAAATTCAACAGGCCTAAATGAAATCGGGCACTTCTGATCTTCCAAATCCCTTAACACTTTTCTAAATTACCTTCTATAACCACCCATCTTAAGAAAAAAAAGTTTGCATCAAACCAGAAGTAGCTTAGATATTTCAAAAATAAATATGGAAAAGACACGCTGAAGCGTGTAAAGGTGACACAGTCAAAGCTACCCACACATCAAAGCTCTATCAGAGGTGCTCCCCACCCCAGGTCCTCATTTCCAAGGCTCAGGCTTTTCCCAGTTGCTACTTCATTCCCAAGTTACTACTGAAACCGCACAAGAAAAGGGAACCGGAGAAACTAAAATTTTTTGCTTGTTTTGTTTTTGCACACTCGGATAGCAAAAATGGACTGCTAATTTCACAAACAGTAACAAAAAAATAAGCAAACCAAATCTCCTGGCTATTTACCAATCAGGAACCAAAGTTCCACTAAGCAGTTAGGGCCTGGGCCTTTTATGTTTTCTTTCTTTTTTTTTCTGCCGGCAGACACGTAATCTAAAAGCACAGTCATTTCCCTCTTGATACTTTATTCGCTCCGAAAACGTCCCATTCAAACCGAAAAAGCCAGCAAAAACAAAAGGGAAAAAAAAAAAATGAGAGCCTGGAAGGCAGTGGGCGCGGAGGGAACGGGACTCCCGGAGGCTGCAGCGTCCTCCCCGCCCGGCTCAGCTCGGCCCCCTCGTGCGCGGGGCTGCCGTCCGGAGGAGGGAGGCAGGCGATAGGCGCCGTGCGGAGCGGCAGCGTCCGGGTGGCCCGCGGCTCCGGGGCTGCGGGAACTCCACGTCCCGGGGAGCCTGTCTCCGCTCAGGCGCAAACTTTGCGGAGTCGCCGCCACCCCGGGGGAGCGGACCCCAGCGCCCCGCGTGACCCCGCTCCACTGCCCGAGGTCGCGGGGTGGGGGCTGGGGGGAACTCGCGAGCGACGCGCCGGGGCTCTTCGGCCTCGCTACGGCGCCGCGCCGCTGAGCCGAACGGCCGGTCCGGCCTGCGCCGCGCGCCCCTCACCTTGGTGGCCATGGCGGGCGGTTCCCCGGCCCCGGCGGGTCGGCTGGTCTCCCGCGCTGCGGAGCTTCGGCCCTGGGCGGGCGAGGTGGACGGCTCCGGCTGCGGTTCGGCGGCTGCGGCCCGGCGCGGCGGCTCCGCCTCAGCCCTGCTCTCGGCGCTCCGGCCCCCGCGGCTCGGCGACTCCCGCCGCCGCCCGCGCCTGCAGTTCCTGAAAGTCCCCGGCTGCGCGGCCCCCGCCCCCGCCGGCCAAGCCTCCC